AACTTAAATTAAATTATAATAAAAATAATAAATTAAAGAAATTACATAAAAATAAAAACTTTTAAATAGTTGATTTGATATTAACATTTATATATATTTTTTCAAATTTTTATGATATCTTCAAATTTATAGTTTATTCAAAAATAAAATCATTAATGCTTTCTTAAAAACACATAAAATCGTATTATAACATCGACAAAGACAAATAATAAAATGAAACATTAAAACTGAGATGTGTCTCGCTGCATTGACGAGTACTCTTCTAGTAATTATTAATATATATATATATATATATATATATATTAATCATAATTATTGATGTTGAAATAATTAATGACAATCACAAAGAAGGAGGTTCTTATAAGAACTGCTGTTGTAGACTTTTAAGAGAATTTTTGATTTGATGAGTTAGAGATGAGTTGACAACAACAACAAAAATGCAAAAATGAGGTTCTTAAAAGAACCTACATTGGATATGTTCTTATAGAAAACTAAAAGGATGTGGGGTTCTTATAAAAACATCTCCAATACAAGGTTCTTATAAACAAAAAGTGAAGTGGTTTGTAGGAACTACCATTACGAATAGTTCTTATAAGAACCCCATCCCCTTTGATTTATTGTATAATAACATTAATTCTCACAATTAAGGGGTCGTTTACCAAACACTTACCCGGGTAAGCACTGACCAAGTCACATTACCTCACCGGATGAATATGGTAAACACTTACCCGGGTAAGCACTTACCAAGTCACTTATAAGAACCCCATCCCCTTTGATTTATTTTATGTAAGTTCTTAATTTGTTGAGTTGGAAGTTAGGTGATGACAAAAAGTGTAAAAATGAGATTCTTATAAGAACGTCCATTGGAGATGCTTTAAGAACTAGGCATGGGAATGGCCCCTGATCTGTTTGGGAACCCGGTCCATCCGCCTCCGTTGGGGAGTGGGATTCCTCGCTAAACCTTGGATGGGGATAGGGACGGAGATCCCTGTTTGTCTCAAACTGGGGATGGGGATGGGGACTGGGACGGGTATTGCATTCCCTTCCCCGCCCCGTACCCGTTATATATTAGTTAATAAATTAAATGTATATTATTTATTTCAACTAGATTGGTTATTTCCTATTTCCGAACTAATTTTTTTATATCATATTTCCTAACTAGTTTTAAAATCTAAAACTGTTATTTTCTAGATGTTACTATGTAATATTTTGAATGCCAACTCAAAATACAATTACTCAATCTGTTTTGGATATTACTCGATTTAGTTTTGGATATTACTCGATATGTTATGGTACGTGTGACGTTAAATTCTTTTTGGATTAAATTGAATTTCTTTTGGTTTTAAGTTATTAATTATTGTATGATGTTGTGATTTTTTCGTATTAAATTAAATTTTCTTTCGATGTTAGGTTTATTAGAAATACGTGAGATTTAAATACGTGTGATGTCTCATATGTTTGATTTAAATTAGTTTACATAAATAGGGAAAACAAAAATATCTGATACGATTGGCTAAAAATATTACAAATAATTGAATTAAAAACAAAATTATCAAGTAAAGGGGGGTTCATTTAAGAATGAAAATGAGAATGCATTTTTATACCTCCCAGTTTAGCTTGGAATAAAAATTTGTGCTTCAGAGGAATGGACCCATTATATTATATAAAATTAAACAATTTATAATTCATTCTCGTTAATTATTGCTTAATAACTCTAACCAAACACCGTCTAAATATTCCAGGAATGTAGGAACAACCTGTTTTATGAGTAAATGAATATTATGACAGACATTCAAGATGAACAATATTTCATCTTTTAAGGGGGTGTTTGAGATTGCTTATAAAAATAACTTATTGACCTATTCCGTTATGGTACTGGTAATCAACACTTTTGAATGTTTGGATAAACAGTTTATATCGGTGTCAAACCGGTAATAAAAAGTTTTTTAAGAAAAGATAAAACATTATGACTTATAATAAGTTGATAAAGACTTTTGTAAAAAAACACAAGTTGCTTCAAATAAACAATCTCAAACACCCCATAAAATCGACTGACTGTCCCTATTTAAGGTTACCAAATCAAACTCTACTTTGTATTTGGCTTATTAATTGATTTTTTAAAGAAAGGGGAACGCTTTATTTCTCCAAAAAATAGAGAACCAAAAGTCAAAATTTCCAAAAAAATTATATTCGTCTCCAAGAGATTTTTCATTTTGGAGAATTCAACATTGATTATAATATTAAAATATTTCATTTATCTATTAAATTATTATTTCTCTCTCTAAATATTTATTTTCAAAGTTTACTATTGATGGTGTCATTTGAAAATCATTTTATCGGTTATCTCTATATTTGAAGAAAAAACCATGATCTCTCCTACTTTTATTTATTTATTTTGAAGATAATTTTAAAGAAACAGTTGAAAGTAAAATATCAGTTTAAAATAGGACAAATTGCATGAAAAAGTAATGTACTTTAACTTGATTCCTACTTTCGATAACGTACTTTTAAAATTTCATTTTGGTATCAAAGATGTAAAGTCTTAAACATTTAAGTATCCGAGTAACCAGTTGAAACATTAACCGGTTACCATGCTGATGTGACGAGTGATAAGATAAAATTGAGTTGAATATCAAATAATACTGAGCTTGATACCACATAACTCGCTAAATTAGCATGGTAACTGATTAATACTTCAACTGTTGAGTCAAATACTTAAATATTTAAAAATTTACATGTTAAATATGAAAATAAAAATATTTTAAAAATATGTTATTTTTTCATGCAATTTTACCTTTAAAATATCTATTTTTCTATTTAAAAAGGATGTCAGCATTTTAAACTTTCCCGAATTGAAGGAAACACGCGCCCTCATGTCATATGCTTTACTTTCCCCATAATCCACCGCTTTCCTCCAATTTCACTATAAATATCCCTTCTCTCTCCCTCACGCCACCGAATGTAAAACCCTAACCCTCCCTAATTCATTTCCAGATTCTGGTATTCTATCACCCTGTTTATCCGATCGGATTGATTGTTTCGTTGCTTGATTTTACCAGAAGCAGAATTCGATTTATGATTGATTTGATCACACACAATGTCTGCGATAGTCTGTGGGAAGAGATCTTTCTTCGAAGAATTACCAACGTCAACGGGTTCTGTGTCTCCTCCCGTTTCTAAGAAGCTTCGTTGTTCTTCGTCGAATTCACCGGTTCGGCGTTCGCCTTTCACCAACTCACCGACGGCCTCTGCCCTTATCGATCAGCTTCGGGTTGTTTTCCCTAACACGGACAAGCAGGTTGGTTTCTTTACTCATTTGTGTATCTATAGGTGTTAAAAAGTGTCCAATTATTGTTAAATCGTTGTTTGTCAGACTTAAAAAAATTGTACATCATAATCCTTATGTAGTATTCGTATTTCGTGGTTTGTCAAGGCGGATTATTAATTTAATTTACATTTTAGTATATACAAACTGTTCAAAATTCGTCTGTTGATGTCGATTGTTGCGTGAATTTGTGGGTATTGCGTTTGGTTCACTCTTTGTTCGCCGTTAGCGTGACTTAATGTTATCAATTTAAAAACTAAGATGATTCAAAGTTATGATGCATATAGAAGTGCTAAATTCAATGGGGAGTTTTCGTTCTCCAAAATGCTTGAAATCATCAAAGAAGTTAAATAGTTCCCTGTTTGGTTGGTGTAACTTTCTAATACATTTGTGGTGTCAATATTGCCTGTGAATGTGTATTGCGTCTGGTTCGATTTTGTTTGCCATAATGCGTATTCAACTTAGTATTATCAATTTAAAAACACCAGGATGAAGCAAAGTTATGATGCATATAGAAGTGCTAATTAGATGGGAAGTTTTGTGATCCAAAATGCTCTAGATCATAATAAAGGAGATTATTTAATTTGCTGTTTGGTTGATGTAAAATTTTAATGAATTTATGATGTGAATATTGTCTGTGATTGTGTTTTGGTGTCTGGTATTTAATCAAATCAACTTCTTTTGTTGCTTGAATCAGATAGTATAAATCAATTTTTATGGAAATTATATGGTTACCATTTGTGCTTGTTAGACGAAGTGCTTTCTATCATGTGAAGTATTGCTTTTATAGGCTCTGATTGTTTGCATCAAATGTTGATCAAAATATACTATGTTGTTCGACATTTAAGTGTTCATGAACTGAAAATAAATCTTTTTTTTTTTTTGCTTCCAGCTCCTGGAGAAAGCGCTAGAAGAAAGTGGCAATGATTTAGATTCTGCCATCAAGAGTCTCAATGAACTTTATTTTGGATATATGGATGGGAATTCAGGTCATATGGCATTGTCAAATGCAGGTATGGACATTGACAATTTCTTTGATTCTGAATTAGGAGCAGGTCCAATCTATGCGTTATAAGTTACGTACTTACATATTAGATAATTAACTAGAAAATATTCTGTTGCAAGTATTTAGTGGGTTTTTGCTTTTACAAGGGTAAATATGTTGACATTCTTAAGTACAACTTTAAATTTTTGGTTGCGAGGAATGCATCTCTTTTTGTGGGTTTTTTCTTTTAATTTCGTAGAATCTTTCCCACATTCATGTCTGGTGATTCGTGATTGATCCCTTAATTTTGTATTTTGGTGTTGGCTTACTTGCTCATGCAACTGGAATGCCATAAAGATAGTGCATGCACTTAAATAATCAGAAAAAAAGGTAGAGAGAAGATAACACAATAATGCCAACACTTGCGCTTTCTGTTTTCTATTTAGATTTCTTGTAATGCAAATGATCTTCTATTTTCTTTTATGTGATAAAATCAAAAGGCATTTCGCTGTACTCTCTCATTTGAAAAACAAAGATGAAAACTGAGGTTTTAGTTACTAAACTTGTTTACTAGGAAAGCGCATTGGCTAAACGAGACCTAAATTAGTTTACTAGTGAAAATTTGGCGGAATGACTAATTTACTACTATCTTTTTAAAGGAATGGAAATGTCTATCTTTTGGCATTGGAATTTCGGGGTTTAAACCTTGTTTCTTCATTAATGTGACTACCTTAACCTTATAATGATTTTTAACTGTTAGGGGAGGAAAGTGACTCCCGAAGATATTACTAAAATTTCATTCTGTGACATAATTTGGTGTTACTAAAAAATCAACTAGTGGTCCTTCCCATGGTTTGCATCAGCTGCCGTCATCTGTCTCATGATTTCCATCCATCGCATGCTCTATTAGTCTTTGTTTGTGTAGTTTTTTTGTGTGCATACTTGCCACTAAAGAGCCTCGTTTTCGCTCTAGTTGCTTCTTGCACTATGCACTTTTATGTTTGCCTGGTAGCCTCTTTCATATTATTCTCTTGCTTCTTAGCACCACAAGCTGCTTCATGTCATCTTACCTTCTGCATTCTTCAATTCACCACCCTAACTGTTTTTGCCCCCATTGTCATCTGGTTCTCTGCTGTGCCCTTGTATTTTAATTGGGGACTGGTGAGTGTGGTGTTCAATTTGCATCTCCTAGAACATCACATTTTTTGTCTATTACATAAATCCATGATTTGAGTTCTTTTATATATATATATATATATATATATATATATATATATATATTTCGCATCATGTTATTTCTGTACTTCTAGTTATGAACGAATTTAATGTTCAAGTGTTTTTAGAATGCAAATTCTATGAATTGTGGGATATCCAAATCCACCAGATGTGAAGAACCATTGGACTTGTCTATTTGATTGAAAATTTATTTCTGTTTATCATGTGAAAGATGAAATGGCTTCATTGTTGTTCAAGGTAAACAAACAGTACCATGTGGTCTCTTCTCAGTGGATTACCTAAAAGGCTAAAATGTTTGTTTTTTGCTACTTGCCAAAGTTTTGTAATAGTAATCTTGAAGTTGAATATTGGGTACTTGTTTCCTAAACTTGCCATAAATATATCTAATACACATGATTCTTTCATGAATGCAAATTTGTATGTTTGACAGCTTCTAGCGAAGAATATGTTACTGTGGAGAAGTCATCAGCCAATGGCAACACTCCAAGAAGTGGTGCAGAATGGGTTGAACTGTTTGTCACAGAAATGATGAATGCTACCAGTGTTGATGATGCTAGATCTCGTGCCATGAGGATGCTGGAGAGCTTGGAGAAATCTATAAATGAATGTAGTGGTGGTGAGGCTGCACAAAGCCTTCATAAGGTTGGTCTCTGTTTTTGTTATATATGTATATGCATGTATGTATAGGGGGCCATTCAAGGGAGAACTCAGTATTTTGTGCGATCCAATCTCGACCACAAATCAAAGTTTAAATTAAGAAATTAATAATTTTGGTAATTTTGACTTAAAATTTAAATACCGGCATTTTAGAAATCTTATCTCTCCTTTCCCCTCCAGAGTGAACTTTCCATTGTGAATTTGTGATACCTACTCTGCTGTATACACGCTTTGAAACCCTAACATACACAATGTGATAAATTATAAACAACGAAAACACAGAATGCAATACAAAGGAAACAACGTAAATACACTGTGTTACTGCCATCAAAGATTCAAAGATAACACACTGTTGAGAGTTACGGATTTCCTATTTATGGGAGTTACGGGTTTCCTATTTATGGAGAAAATAAACTAATTAAACACATTTGTGGGTTGTCTTTTTTATTACTGAATTACCCCTTTTTATTTATTTAATGAATAACATAATTATCTCACATTGGATCTCATGGTTATCACAAATTATTGAGTTCTCATTGATTAGGCTCCTATGAGTACCGAGTTATCACTAAGCCTTCATAAGGTTGGTCTCTGCTTTTTCGTTATATGTATGCATGCATGTATATGATTGACATGAGGAGAACTTGTTTTGGGGTTTCCTTGTGTTGAAATTTACAGCAATGGCATTTACACATTTAATTCAGAAGTGGCCTTGGAAATGATCCTGTTGTTTTGGAACCTATCGTATGTTGTACAATCTTGATGTTTTGAACCAAGTAACTTGTTTCTAAATTGTGTCGTACCCACTATGAACATCAGGAAAATACGGCCGTGAAGGAACAAATCGAAGTTCTAGTGCGGGAGAATAGCATACTGAAACGTGCTGTAGCCATTCAGCATGAACGACAGAAAGCTTACGAGGAGAGCAGCCAAGAGGTGCAACAGTTGAAGCAGATGTTGTCAACGTATCAGGAGCAGTTGAGGACTCTCGAGGTTAGACTTGCATCTTTGGCTGTTGATTTTGTTTTAATACGAACCAAAACTAATTGATAATGGTCGTGGTATGTATGTAGGTGAATAACTATGTGCTGAGGATGCATTTGAGACAAGCTCAGGAAAGCAACAACTGTATGCCAGGACGGTTTCACCCAGATGTCTTCTAATAAGAGAAACAAGTATGTATATGTTTATTTAGAATATATATATATATATATATATATATATATAGTTTGTTGTAAGGGCGTAAGGCTACATTTGCCATGTAAAGTGAAGTTAGAGGACAAGACCTCCATGTGTTGTTGGTATACAATAATTGTTTCGATGAGTTTTTATTTTGCCTGCTTTTGTATTTTTTTGTAGTGTTCTGAAGTAAAATGATTACTTTAAAATTAAAACATGTGGTGTTTAAGTTGATGCTGAATCCCGGTCCGAGCACTGCTTAGAGGACAAGACCTCTATGTGGATAGGAACCTGAAACTGTTGATGATCGTTTCATTAGTTGCACGAAGAGTTTTGAGGTCCGAACAAAAGTGTTCAGGTGGTGGGGGGTTTGTTTTCCCTCGGCATTTGAATTTCTCAAAATTCTGAAAAGGATGTATGGTAGATCACTGATCACCTACAATCTAACTTCTAACCTCAAAAAGGATGTATGCTTACTTAAGCGCTTATTAAGTCACATTATTTTATCGGATGAATATGACGAGGACCAAGAATCAATGCTTAGTAAGAGCGAACACAATGACCAAGAGTCTTTCCAGTAAGTGTGGACGGTGACTCTTACCACGGTTAGCGTTTACCAGGTAAATTGTTGCATACGGTTACTTTTTGGTGAACTAAAATCTTACTTGGTAAGTAAATAATAGTGTTGAATATTACTGGTAAGCATTTACTGGGTAAGTGTTAGGTAAATGACCCGTAATTTTTTTCAAAAGGGATATGTTGGGTGATTTGTTGGATTACAATGTATGTAATTTCGGGATAGCGAAATAAAATGGTGTTTTCAGATTGGATTTCTTCACCTACCACCCCGCTTTTGATATTCAACTTCTCGTGCAAAAAGGTTCATGCTTTAAGTATATATTATTTATTTACGACAAATACTCACGTACATTAGTCACTTTTGGTAAGGTTTGAACCTTTGACTCACTCCCATGAGGTTGGACTCTAACAGTAACACATGTATCGTTGGTCAAATAGCCATTTAGTAAAAAAAGAACCATACTTCGTGGATGAATTAGTGTTGCAGTCCACGTGGGATAATGCTAAAAAGTGAATCGTCAATGCTCACTTTTTTTGTAGTGACCCTCGGTAAGTACGGAAAAAAATTCAATAAATGTTTTCCATTAGTATAAAATTGAGTACAAGAAATGTTAATAATTTACCGAGGAAAGAAATCTTATTTATCTTTATCATATATATATATATATATATATACTATTATATATATATATATATATATATATAAGAGTACTTAAATTTACATACTTCTTGTTAGGTAATTTGAAACCAAGAGTATAGAAACTATGTTGATAATTTTTTTATAAAAAGTAAGAATTTTTTTAGTTTATAACAAGAAATATGTGCTATTTTGATACAAAAAGAGAATTCGTGTGMATGAGKTAATMGTGAGGGTCAACGAGAGATCAATAATAAAGAAGATTATCAAGGTTTTCTAGACAAGTAGACAAATGAGGATCAATAAGAATATGAAAGAAAAGATGATCGATTGAGATTCAATAAGAATAAATAATGAATTAAACATATAATATGTAAGCTCAACAAAAGATTGTTTGAGCATTTAAATAGAAGCTTGTTGTGTGGTGGAATCCCAATGAAAGATACATAAGTCAAACAGTTGATGAAAATATTTAAATTTTATTTTCCTTCTTTTTTTGTTCAACCAAAATATGATTTTAAGATTAAAAGTTTATGAAACATGACATTATAAAAGACGTTAGTAGAAAAAATTTATTTATTAATCATAAAACCATGAAACATATCATAAATTATAAGAACAATATATTGATTGTCAAACAATAATAAAATATTTTATGTAGAAGCAAAAATAGATAATAATAGTCAACAAAAACAATTAGAACAACATAATCAAATAGCAATAGTCAATAGAAACATAAATTGATAAAAATATATAGCAATAACAAGCACATGATCTTAACGTTGAATAGTTGAAGCACGAAAACAGTCAAACATATAGATATGGTAATAGCCAATATCATTAGACCTTTTTGGAGATAAAAAAAAAAAATTAGAGAGTCAATAATAAACAATAATATATAATGAATGACAATTAATTTTTTTTTAATTTTCTTCTCCAATGTAATTAATTGATATATTTTTGGGCACTTATTATCTACTAATTCTTTTTGCCCCTTTATTGTATACTACAATTTTTTGGGTTTTTTTAAATTTATTATATGATTTTAGACTACTATTGTATTTAAAAGAAAATTTTTGGGCCCCTGATATTTTTGGGCCCTGGGCGTGCGCTCGTGTCGCCCTCCCCAGGGACGGCCCTGCTTATAGAAAGATTTGATTTAGGGGCGGTCTCATGTAACGTGATAGCTTTTTCATAAATAAATTGACGTCCTTTTAGTAATAGAAACTTTGATAACCCTATAATTTACGAATCGTCGGTGTCATGAATCACTTCCCAATTTAGAACAAAGACCGTAACTACATATTGTCATCAGACGTTTCAAAAGATGACGAATACCTTATTTTATTATTATTATTATTATTATTATTATTATTATTATTATTATTATTATTATTATTATTATTATTATTATTATAACTATTATTATTGTTACAGTTGATACGCAAACATCAGATAGTTTTTTAATCGCAAATTGTGACTGTAGGCTTCGCCTATAATCCTGAGGTAGATCTCGACCACAAACACATATGTAGATAGCAGAATTCGAACTCCTCTAATTGATTTTATCATCCCTTTATTTTTATACTGTTAAGACGAACTTATGAGCCGTTTACCAAACGTTTATTCGGGTAAGTGTTTATTGAGTAATATTACCTTATCAGATTAAAATGGTAAGTACCAAGAATCTTACCCGTAAAAACAAAGACAAGTACCAAGGGTCTTACCCGGTAAGTGAAAACGATAACTCTTATCACGGTTAGCGCTTACCGGGTTCATTGTTACATTTGATACCATTTTGGTAGATTAAAATCTTACCCGATAAATAAATGATAATATTGAATTTTACTGATAAACACTTACCCGGATTAGCATTTAGTAAACGGTTTTTATAGAGTTTTATAATGGAAATTATATGGAAAATTGGAATTGGGTATAAAAAGGTGAAAGACGAGCAACGGGAGTTTCGGAGACTTCCGGTGGCAAATAATCCGTCTGCATTCCCATTCCTATCCGCCGCAGTTAACCCACCTTCTTTTATCCTTCTCTGCCTCCAAACCCTAGAATTCGAAACCCCATCAATCCATAACAAAATTCTCAACCAAAGATGGTGTTGGCAGAGTTAGGGGGGAGCATTTCACGTGCTCTCCAGCAGATGAGCAATGCCACAATCATCGACGAGAAGGTTCTCAACGATTGCTTGAATGAGATTACTCGCGCTCTTCTCCAGTCCGATGTTCAGTTCAAGCTTGTTCGTGATATGCAGACCAATATTAAGAAGATCGTCAATCTCGATGATCTTGCGGCAGGCCATAACAAGCGAAAAATCATTCAACAGGTAACTTTCTTTCTATCTTCTAGTACTACTTATCTTGATACAGGTCTTGTTTACGTATGTAGGTTTAGTTAGTTTGCATTGTTCTTGGTCTTTGGTTGTCTGTATGCTGCTGCTTAGAAATTGAGGACGATTTGCTGCAGTTCTGTTTTTGCTGTACCTATTGCAGAATTGAGAACAAAAAAGTTTTGACCTTTGAACCGCCATAAAGAAATTATTGATCACATTCTCATCCAATAGCTTGAAATTGAAATTTGAGGATCCCGATTCAAAGCATGAATTTGTAAACATGAAATTGAAATTTGAGAATGCCGGTCCAAAGCATGAAACTGAAATTTTGATTGTATTCTATCAACCACTGGGGTAGAGCCAACAAATTTTTATGTGTAAGGAATTGCTGTAGGGATTGATGGAAACATTATTTGCTGTTCTCTCTTTTTTGTGGCAAGACTTTCTGCTTATTGCTATTAGATGCACAGGATGCTTTGACTTGTGCTGGAAAAGTTTGGTAGGTTGAACTGATAATGAATTTGTGTAACTAATTGTAAACTTTAGCACGCCTAGAAATCAGCATTATTATAGGTGCTTTTGCATTCCAATTGCAGTTTCACCAAATTATTGCTATTCCCTGATAAGCACTTTGCTCACTGTATTAACCTCTCATAGACATATATCTGGCTTTCCATTTGATTGATGATTATTCATCATCCATTTGATTCTTCAGAATAGTGGCTGAATATTATAGTATAATAAGCGTTAATTGCATGTTGAGACAATCAGAAGGAATTGTAGAGCAAGTCTCTTCTTTTCAACCCCTTCAAAGTCACTGTAACACGTCCGCCACCATGCAATGAACATGTCAAGTAAATAAAGATAGAAGGCAAGTCATAATGATACAAATAGTCTCTTATGTCCTTTGAAGGTATAACTGCAAACTGTTGTTGCTATGATCGTCCACGGATATGGGCCTGTTTTAGGAACAAGTATGTAATTCCTTCTTTTTGCCAGGAATGCATTAAGTCCTCTATTAAACCTATTGCCGTTTAAAGTTTTTGAAAAGATCAGACCTTCTGTCTGAGTATTATTATTTTTCCTTTTAGGCCATATTTAATGAGCTCTGCAAGATGTTGGATCCTGGGAAGCCTTCTTTTGCCCCCAAGAAAGGCAAAACAAGCATCGTCATGTTTGTGGGTCTACAAGGTATTGTGTTCATCAATATAGTACTATTCCTATAAAAGCATCACATACTAGCACCTATTTGGGTGGATCTCAAGATGTGAACTTTCACGCATACATTTGTTTACCGTCACTTTTGCCACTAAACTCTGTTGTCAGTTTGCTTTCTGCCATAATTACATTCTATATTGATGTGTACTTAAAAAATGGAAATGAATTTAGGTTCTGGAAAAACTACAACGTGTACAAAATATGCCTATTATCACCAGAAGAAGGGCTGGAAACCAGCTTTGGTATGTGCAGATACATTCAGAGCTGGTGCTTTTGATCAGTTGAAGCAGAATGCAACAAAAGCTAAAATTCCTTTTTATGGAAGGTAAGTTTGCTTCTTAATAGATTGAACATATATCCAATTAGTTCATTTCTGGAAGAGTTCTGATATCAAGGAATGATGGCAAGTCACATTTCAAATAGCTGAGAAAAACTGCTCATATGGGCATTAGGAGGAATAATAGAACTAATACCTTCAAACGGACTGTGCCAATAGTGATTTAAATATACCATGGTCAGATAAACCTTAGTCTTATGTGAAAAGTTAATTGCCACTAATCAAAAGAGGGGCTAGTCATGAACAGGGTTCATTGTTGAGCGTGTTAAGGTAGCTATGTGTTTCATGGTTGACCTAAGGACTGAGGATATTTTGTCAATTGTTTAATAATAAATGTGATCATGAATTAGTTATGTAATAAGAAAATTACTATATGGGCAGCTTCATGAAGTCCTTTATTTTTTCGGCCTCCTATGAATGTTAACTTATAGGTAAAAGAAAATAATATCCGTTATCCCCAGTGACCAATGATTCTTCCTACTATTGATTTGTTAGTTAACATCCGAGAACTTATTAGTATTATCTCAAACTCCCATGTCCTGTCTACAGCTATATGGAGTCAGACCCTGTGAAAATTGCTGTGGAAGGTGTGGAGAGATTCAAGGAGGAAAATTGTGATCTCATTATCGTCGATACTAGTGGTCGACACAAGCAGGAAGCGGCTCTCTTTGAAGAGATGCGTCAAGTTTCTGAAGCAACGGTACCTTCGAGTTATACACTATTATACTTCAATTATTGCTTTTAATTTCAGTTTTGATTGGAAGACGAAGGATCGTGTGAGCAAAAGAGTTAAAGTGAGAAGCGTAAGAAGGGATCTGGACCCTTGATCATCTTTAATCTCAAACCCACCCATTGATACTGGAATTGATCTGGTGCATCTCATTCTGATGTGTCTAAGGGTGGAGATCCTTTCTTACGCTTTTCACCTTAACTCTCCTTCTCACTGGAACTCAAACCTTGATTGGAAATGCTAACAGATCGCATTTCTAATCTTATAGAAACCGGATCTTGTTATCTTTGTCATGGATAGCAGTATTGGTCAAGCTGCATTTGATCAAGCTCAAGCATTTAAGCAAAGTGTTGCTGTTGGAGCTGTAATTGTTACTAAAATGGATGGTCATGCAAAGGGAGGTGGAGCTCTTAGTGCGTAAGTGTCCTTAGTTATTATTAAGCTTTTCATACTTTAATATAAACTAAATCCTTTTGAGAAAGATAGACACTGACATGATGCATGTATACCATACACGTTCTTGATTCGTTTACCTCAGAAAAAGACTTTTTAGAGGTTTGACCTGAAAGGGGCTCTTTCTTGCACCTTCAGAAATGTCCCAGCAACAGCCTTTTTTTATAGAAAGAAAAAGGAAAGCAAAAAAATGTTAACAGAAATGCTTGCACAACTTTTTGCTTAGTATATTTGTTTGCCACCTTTAAACATAAGTGATGGGTGCTTTAGATAATTATATTCATAGCATGCCTCGTCTTGTTTATGCAATCAGTTTTTTCACTGTGAAGTGAGCTTTGTTTGAACCTAGGAAAACAAGTCACAATGTCTTGATTCATTAATGGTTTCAACCTAGCATTTATTACAACACTTTCTTCCCTAAAGTGATTTCTGTGACTGGAGTTATTTGAGAAGTAGAATTAATTTGACAAATGTAAATCAAGTTTTTTCAGAATAAAAAATAGGAAAATAACATGCACAAGGAGTATCTGATACTTCCAAGACCAGTGGGGGATAAAGGCCCAAAAAATATGGACACTCCTGTTGAATATCCAGAGCCCTGTATACAAGCGTAAAGTGGTTTCTGAAAATACATGACTTTTCAGAGATTTCAGAAACTAAAATCTTTTGTATTAATCATGTTCCCATTTCTCATGTATGTATGTATGTATGTATACATATCTTGGTACATTAGGTGAAGACAAGCCTCACTTAAAATTTGGTTTTGTGGTTTCATCATAAAAATGTAAGCTTTGATGGTCAAAAATATAAAAAAGAACTTCAAAAAAGAAAAAAACATAGAGAAGGGGGATGGCTGCTGGTTTTGCTATCATAAATGCTTAACTAATTTTATATAAATTTTACAAAAATACTCCTGAAGGCATGACTTTTCATTGAAGAATTTTAAGATTTAAAATTAAATTGTAGGGTAAAATGGTCATTTTATCCAGGATTCACCGAGTTGGAAGTTGGGTGGCGTCTTTTGACAGTTTTATAGTTGAGTGACTCATTTGACATCTGTTTTAAACTTCAGTGGCCTCCTTATATCCCTTATAAATGGCAATATCATGTATCCAATATGACAGAAGTTTGATATCCATTCTGTATCTTTCGTTTTCCTGTATTCAGAGTTGCAGCAACAAAAAGTCCAGTCATTTTTATCGGTACCGGAGAACATATGGATGAATTTGAAGTTTTTGATGTTAAACCGTTTGTGAGCCGTCTTTTAGGTTTGCATCACTCCATCTTTTTTTATCTCAAAACTTATAATGTTTACTTCCTTTCACTTCCAATCTATTTGAAATGATGCTACCAATTTGCAATTTCGAATTTAGGCATGGGTGACTGGTCTGGATTCATGGACAAGATTCATGAAGTCGTTCCTATGGATCAACAGCCCGAGCTTCTGCAAAAGCTCTCGGAGGGAAATTTCACCTTGAGGATTATGTATGAGCAATTTCATAATATACTCAAAATGGGTCCTATCAGCCAGGTTCACCTCCATGTTTTAGCTGCTTTTTATGTTTATTTTTACTTAAATGTTAATAGTTGGACAGTAAACAAACTTTTGAGATAATGGGGATATCACTCTGCTTCTTTTCTTTCTTCTCTAATCTGATTTTATCTTTTTGTCCCTTTAAATACCTAAAAACTTGATAAATAATGCTGCTATCAGTGACCTTACAAGGTTAGGGTATGTTTGTTAGCAGCTTAATGATATAGAAAGAGGCTTATTCAATAAGCTTCTAGGGGGGAATTTTATGCAGAAAGCCAAGTTTTTATCAAACCTGTCACTCCCAATAAAAAATACGCCCCTTCCATCTATGAGAAAACCTTCCAAACAAAAAACTTTCCAATCTATTCAGATAGATTAATCCACACATACAACTTTATCCATACAGGACTTAATGGAAAACCAACCAAACAACTCCTTAATGAGCTTAATGGGACTCGCAACTTATTTGGCCAGTTATACATGATTGTTTGGTAGTGGCTTAATGATATAGAAAGTGGCTTGTTCAGTAAGCTTCTAGGGTGAGCTTTATGCAGAAAGCCAAGTTTTTTTCAAACCTGCCCCTCCCAATAAAAAAACAATCTCCTTCCATCTATGAGAAAACAAACAAAAACTTCTCAATCTGTATAGACAGATTAATCCACACAGCCAACTCTATCCATACAGCACTTAATGGAAAACCAACCAACATCCCCTTACTCTCCTTTGCAATTGGTAGGTCTTTTCAATGCTTCCAGGATTTAGTTCTGAGCTAATGCCAAAGGGCCAAGAAAAGGAAAGTCAAGCAAAGATCAAAAGGTACATGACGATGATGGACTCAATGACTAATGAAGGTAGGTTAAGCCCACTCACTATGGAGCCTTGATCAAATCACAATAACCCTAATCGGGTTTACATTTTTGCAGAGTTGGATAGCACAAACCCAAAGATAATGAACGACTCCAGAGTCATGCGGATAGCAAGAGGATCCGGCCGTCAAGTGAGGGAAGTGGTGGAAATGCTCGAAGAGTATAAACGGCTGGCGAAAATTTGGAGCAAGATGAAAGGGCTTAAAATACCCAAAAAGGGAGAAATGAGTGCTTTGTCTAGAAACATGAATGCACAGCACATGAGTAAAGTTCTTCCTCCACAGATGCTGAAGCAAATTGGTGGCATGGGTGGTTTACAAAATTTGATGAAGCAAATGGGTTCAAACAAAGATATGATGAATATGTTTGGAGGTGCAGATAAGTAGATCAACTTCCTCTTCTGTACCTCATCAATTGGTTAGAGCTTTTTCTCTATCTTCATGTTATACCCATTGTAAGTACCATAAATGTGTTTATGAAGATATACATGGTTTTTTTGACCATTTGTTCTATGAGGATGTGGGGATTGGACATGACGAGAGTGAGGTAGACGGGTGAAAGAACTGTGAAATATTTCAGGGTTTTAATCTAACATGATAGTTTAATAAAGGGAAAAGTTCTGGAAGATCCAATGTCATTGCTCCCCCTCAATGGTTTATTTATTCAAAAGAAAGTTTAAGAACTTATTCAAACTAAGAAAGGTCATTATGTTTTTCTGAACTTATGCATTTAGTAAATTATATATCTTGTCCCTTTTCCATGATTTTTGTTTCACCTATTTTGGTCCGATAAAAAAGATATCTCTAGTCGTGTCCCATTCTAATACAAGGCCAAACATGGAACAACAAAATTTTCTTCCATCATGGGAACACATCTTAAATGCTACCTTTGATATCATCATAGAGTCGGGTTCATACAAGAACAATAACCAAATAAGATCGAATCACATGTGATTCACGACCTGAGGTCGCAAGCCACATCGCTTGTACGCCCTTGCATTGACCGTTAGTGTAAAATCTCAAGTGACCTTTTTCGTGTTCTTTTATTTGGTTATTGTTCTCGTTTGAACCCTATAACATAAGCATCCAAACTGTAAAGCTATATAACTTAACAGCCAAACTTGCATATATATGTGAAACAGGTACAGAATTGCTACAAAATGATTATAATTAAAGATTCCTTCCTCTGATACCATTTATTCATTTACAAGTAGATAGATCAAGAGAGCCTTAGGGGTAGTTGCTGGGGGAAGTTTTTATTGAAGCATCATCATCTTCACCATTATCCTTTATTGCCAGTTGTGTATGGATGACAGAGATCACTTGTTTTCTCAACTTTGCATTGTCAGCTAAAATATCACCTATCAATCTCCTCAATTCATCATCTCTATTTATCTGGATGTCATTTTCATCTGCAGCTCCGGTAGTGGTTTTCACATCTTCGGCTACGAGGAGCTGTGCCTGTTGAACAATTCATTCTCAAATATGAAGAATCAATCAAACGGGTGTATATGAGTTTCAATTGCTGTATATAAAATATTATATGCTTAAAGAAAAAGAATCATCTCGGTGCTTTAAGGGAGAAATATAGGCCGAATTTTGTGAAGATAGGGTCTGTTTATTAGCAGCTTAATGAGACTTGCTGCTTGTCGATCAGCTATACATGACTGTTTGGTAGTGGCTTAATGATATAGAGAGAGACTTATTCAGTAAGCTTCTAGGGTGTGCTTTATGCAAAAAGCCAGATTTTTTCCAAACATGCCCCTCTCAATAAAAAAACACACTCCTTCCATCTCTCCAGAAAAAAACTTTCCCAATCTATACAAACAGATTAATCCATACAGCACTTGATGGAAAACCAACCAAACAGCCCCCTAGACGAGTTTATCCAGATATTTCAGATTTTTTAAGCATATAATATTTATATATAACAAATACTCACACACACAAATCACCTTGCCTTTGGTGAGGTTTAAACCCTTGACCTCGTCGGAGGTTGGGCTGTACCAATAATCTGGATACCGCTGCTCAGATATCTTAGATATTGTAGGTGGGAAGTTAAAGAAGTTTTAGATTCATGCGAGGACGGAATTTACCTCGGCGAGCAGAAGATTGATTTGACTATCAGATGTTTCCAAGAGATTGATGGCATCTGATAAGGAAGTATCCATTATCAGTTTATTTTCTTCATCGAAGAGGAAATTAACGCTACACTCTCGAAGTCGGTCGTGAAGAAGTTCACATTCATGCAACAACGCCGTCTTGATAGCATTTCCAGATTCCCATCTTTGCTTCTCCTTCTGGCGCACATCCATAGAATGCAAACAATCAGATGACACCCTATAAAGCAAATCTAAGTGAAATGATCTCTTGGGAGAAACATCATGCACAAAATTCTTTGATTAACAATGTTCGGCAAATTGGTAAAGGATAAATAAACCTGAAAGCTACTATGTGCAGCGACTGCATTTCTAAGGAGCAGAAGACGAGAACTCTCTAGTCGAATGATATTGGCAATCGTTTAGTGAATGCCTCGTGGGGTCTATAGAGGGGGGGGGGGTTGAGATGTATGTAGACCTGAACTCTACCTCTAAAGAGTAGGTTGTTTCTGTAAAGACCTCGGCTTGAGCAAGAGTGCGAGCCAACAGGTAAAACAAGAAAATTAGGGAAAAAGATAACGAAATAGGTACATTAGTAACATACACAAGGACTTAGGTTTCTGAAGGTTGCTGTATTGTTTTGTTGGGTGTCAACCATATAGTTTATGAAACTGAAATGTTAACACAACACTTTAATGGCTAAGATGGTAAATGCTCCTGCCTTTGTATAAAAGGCCAAGGTGTGAGTCTCATAGTTGTCAAATTTGTTGCTTTTAGCTTAGATTATATGTAGACCAAACTCGAATATGGATCTTTTCTAGGTAAGGACAAGGAACCAACCAACAAATGTATACTAATATTGTGGGTAAAAAAGTTGCATATTTTTTATAGTGCCACCACTTGAAAAAAAATTTTGGGTCCGCCTCTGGCCCGGCCCACAAATCTCTCCAACTGCCTTTTGCTCAACCAAGCTAGCTACATGTCTCTACATCTAGCCTGCTACTCTAATTCCTCGTCTCCTAATACTTCTATCAGAAGTCATATCTCGATAGAATTTACAAGGGTCGGTTTTGTTTGGTTTTTTCTAGTGAATGCCCGATGGTGGAAGCTGAAAATCTTTAGAAGACATTCAAGAAAAGGAATTGTGATGTTGTGTCGACATAGTTTGCAATGGAGAAAAAGAAAATCGGGAAGTTGAAGCTACCTCTAATTCAACTTTTTCTTCCAAACATTTGCTAAGCTCCTGCTTCAATTCTGAATGAGATGTTCTAAGAGATTTGACCTCCTTAACAAGGATTTTAAGGTCTGATTTTGATTTCAATTCCACCTCATCTTGCTGTTTCCTCAAAATCTCAGCCTGCTCCCTGGCCTCATCCAATTCTTTTATTAACAGTTCATTCTGCTGGATTGCCGTTGCTTTCATTGATTCTGCATATGCTCTCGCATCCTAAAATGTTCCAACATGTTATTCACCATGACAATTACAGAAAGGTGTTTACGTGACAAAAAGAACTACTTGGACCTGTTCGGTTGTCAATTTCAACTCAAATTCCATACACTTTCTTCGAAGCTCTTCCATATCCCATTGCAGATGAGTTGATCTTTCTCTTTCTGTTGAAATAGCTTGCTGCGCGTTTTCTTTGCTGCTCTGGCTTCTTGTTTCAAGTTCCATTTCCAATTCTTTTACCTGCAGAAAAGGTATAGTAGCTATATAAAACCATGCCATACCTAGGGTATGTTTGTTGGCAGGTTAATGGGACTCAAAGCTTATACGGTCAGCTATACATGAATTTTTGGTAGTGACTTAATGATATAGAAAGTGTGCGCCTTATGCAGAAAGCCAAGTTTTTTCTTTACCTGCCCTCCCAATTAAAAAACACCTCATTCCATCTTTGGAAAAACCTCTCAAACAAAAAACCTTCCTAATATATACTGACAGATAATCGACACAGACAACTTTATCCTTTATCCATACAGGACTTAATAGAAAACCAACCAAACAACCCCTTACATCTAATACTTGCAACATGATTGAGTGGCTTGGCTTGTTAAAGGGAATTCGACAAGGTTATAAGGATAACCCAAGCACACTTGTACTTAATTTACAGTTTGTTGTGGTGTTAAATACGCACCTTTGTTGTAAGGTATTCTCTTGCAACAATCTCTTGATTTAATCTTACAACGAGATCTTCCATGTCCATTTTGGTTGTGCCCAATCTTTGTTGCACAGTGGTTAAAACCCTGTTTACTTTGTGACGCTCCTCTGATGGAAGTGCAACTACTAAATCACCCTGTAAACCTTGTAGACTGCTATCACCAACCGAACTTCCTAACCCCGAATTACAAGTTTCACAAGCTCTTATTGAGCTTACATCTTTTCCTATGCTCTTATCAGAGGACTCCGAAGCATGACCACCAAAATCAGAGTCTAGGCCAGAAGTCTCCAACACTCCTCCATCATCATGATAACCATCTATAGTTGTGTCACTTTTCCTGTATAGTATTTTGTGCTGATTTGATATGTCATGCTTCCCTTCAGCAAAGTCTTCTCTGAGTCCATCAAAAGTATTTACAGATGAATTATCCCTGAAGTTTTCTCTCTCAGATGCATTGTCTATGTTAGGTTCAGCATAATTCTCCTTTTCCGGCCTTGGGGCCCTAAGATCGGATGAAATGGATGAACTGCTTGAAATCCCTGAATTGGAAGGAAATTGATTCGATGAAACCAAATTTGCAGCTGATTCTTCCTCTAGCAACTCACAACATGCTGAAATAGAAATACCAACAGAACAGGTTAGTACAACTTGCCATTCTCCATGAATAAAATGACAGAGTTTAGACATAGGATGCTAGGAATGATGCCATTTTAACATTTAAAAGAAATAGAAACATACATTGCCTTGCCGCAGCTTCTAGCTCCAAAAAGATGGCCACAAGAGCAGTTCTAGACACATCAATATCGGAAAATAGCTTCTCCACCCAAACCTCCAAAGCACATCTTCGCTGTAACAAGACAGGCCCTTTATGGACGCTATAGCAGATTTCTAAGAATTTCAGAAATTAAAACGGAAAAAGTGACGTGAAGAAAAAACAACATAACCAATTGTTTACTTCAAGATAACATCTTTTCACTTCCATACAGTAGCAATGACTTTTTTCATCAATTTCATTTAGGCACGAACAAATCTATTTTAGCACTACAATAGTTAGATATACTTCACAGGATAATGGCTTTCAGAAAATGCTTATTGTTAGCCCATAAAAAAATGGAAGCTAAAATGTCATAACTCTAACTGTTTCAAAGGCCTCAGTACAACTAAGTATACATTGTAGCAAAAAACAAACTTTTTTCTTGGTGTAGTATAGGCCATGTCAGAACAGTTACATTTGACTGGACATGCACACAGTTCACCCATTGAATCAATTAATCTAAGTCCAAGTTGGATGGGCATTTTAACCCCCTTTTGCTATTAGGAGTGAGACCTTAGGCCATATAGTTATCTGTTGCAAAAGGCTATTTTGTGTACCATGTCGATTGATGACCATGCTATTAACAATTTTTAATATCATTGGGGGTCCTGGTGACACGAATGGCATATTTCCACAGAATCCTATTTAAAGCCAACTCATTTGGACCCTATCATATGACAAGAACAAGCTTTTTCCCAAACTAGTTGGGGAAAAAGCTAAAACGAGAAACAAAAACAAATTATAAATACATAGGTAATCCAGGGGCATGATGGCTTCTTCCTGCGCACTCCTGTCTCAGACCTAGTCCTTTGGTATTACCTGCTCATGAAAGCATTTCTTCTTGACTTCCCCATGTTGGTTTTGATCGCCCTCTTCTTGGTACAAGTCATCACTTTTAACCAACACATTTGTAGGTTGACATCGGAAATGACGGAAGTACCTCAAACGGTATTGCCTCAGCTTTTCAGAACAGGTGCCTCTGGAACCTTTTCTTATATATTCTCGTCTTTAACCCTACCCTCAGATTATGGCCACACATCCATTGTTACTACATACATTGGGTTTCAGTTCCAGTGAGAACAACCCCTTTTTGTGAGAACATGAGAAAAATGAAGGTATCCTTGTATTGTGTGAAGGTTTGTCGTGAAAATTGTGAAGATGCATTGTATGAAGGTTAAAACATTCACACAATCCAATAGACAGTTGAAGGTGAAAGTTACAATTTTCACAAAATATAACGTAACATTCATACAATATAAAGATACCTTCACTTGTTCTCACCTTCGCACGAAAGTAAAAATTTCTCACATGATCATGACTCGCATACATTGCATGCACATGTTGTCTTTTAATGGCCCAATATTCCATTCTATAAGGTTTATCACCATCCCAAAACTTACCTTTCAAGTTCAATGGGACATATCAACTGCTATGTTCTTATTATCCTATGATCAATATCCTCATCAATATTTCCATCTTCATATAAATCTATTCCCAAATAACAAGTACTTAAATGCTTATCCAGCTATGATTACCGCATTTTCTGCTTCCCTCTCAACAACTTTAAGGTTGCACTTCATATGTTCTGCTTAGTTTCAACTTGATCTAAATAATCTGACTCCAAAGTGTTCCTCCAAACATTGAACTTAGCATAAACACCTCGGAGGAACTGGGGATTGGGATCAGTCAAAAGAGAAAGATAAACAGAATAGTTATAAATATAATATTGTAGATCCTAAAATTAAATTTAGCTCTACACTACCAAATATTCCTTGTAGGCAAATAATAATCAATTTAAAGCACTACTGGCAAAAAGTGTGAAGTTTATATATGAGGTGCAAAATTGTCATTTTGTTTTCTGGATGGATATGGGGGTTTCTAAAATAGATGTTAGTCGACTGGCCTCAAAGAAACATCTAATTATCCTATGGCCCAACTAAATAATAGTAATTTGCCTATGGCCTCCAAGACCAGTCTTGTATTTTAACAAAGCACAGATATACTATAATCATAAAAAGTTCTTAGAACATAGATACTGCTTTTATTGTTTGATGAAATGTAATTCCAAAACCCTTGTTCTTCTTCTGAAAAGCATGAGTAACCATAACCAGTTTTAACTGTTTGACACCTGTAAGCTAATATTTTTTATCGTATGGGAATTGATGAGTAAATAGAGAAGTTATAAATGTGGTCCAAGAGAGCATGATAAAACATCAAAACTGCCCATACCTCTTCCAAAAGTGTCGAGCTTCTCATTTTCATAAGCCTCCTTGGAGGAGCTGGGGGTAAATTTTTCTTAGGGAATTCCTTTCTGAGCTGCAAAAGACATTACTATCAGGTAGTGTTGTGTTTGAAACAGCTTGAATGAGACCAAAAAGATAATGATTTTTCTGGGATACCTAGAATGATACTAGGTCCCCTAAGGGTGTGTTTGGTACGTAGACAGGACTGGACAGGACTGTAGGCAGGTGAAAGAATTGTGCAAAGGTTTCAAAGTTTTGATTTGACATAGGTAGTTTAGTAATTTACCAATCTTATCTCATATTCCTTACTTTTGTTCCACCTATTTTGGTGGGACAAAAATATGCATTTTTGTAATTGTCTCACTCAGTCATGTCCTGTCCCAGTCTAATGTCACACCAAATATGGGACAAGTTTTTGTTCCGTTCTGTCCCACGTACTAAACGCACCCTAACAGTGTTTTAATCCCTAAAGAAGGTAACAACTAGGTCCCTCGAAATAACTAGAAGATGTGAAATGAAAAGCACTGATGACCATCATAGCAAGTGTAACTAAAAACCTAAACGAACCTCTGAATGCAGTGTCAAGAAATCATTAAACCTTCTTAGTACTCCTCGAGTTGTGGTGGTCCCTTCTGGTGATAGTATACCAACCTGGACCCTGAAAAACTGCATGGAGGACATAAATGTCAACATGTATAGCAAGTGTCACATAAGTTCATGAAAGCCACAGAGCTACAAAGAGGAACTAGTTAAATATATAATAGGAGATTCCCCTATTGTTAGATCAATTCACATGGTCAATTACATGACTGCTCTCCAAAAAAATCTGCATGCAAGTCTCATTCAATTCATTTTCTCATGCTTAATAAGAAATCATATAACAGATAGGATGGCTACCCCAATACATACAAACAGCAAGGCCTATAACCTGCCTAACAGACTGCAAAATTTTAAAAGGCTTTCTGTACTCAAAACATCACAAGTACGAAAAATCTTTTCTTGATTTAAGCTACTTAAGCTGAAAATAACTAAACATTGTTTACAATTAGTTCACAGCTTTTTTCCTCAACTCTTCTAAAGCTTCACAGAGAGCACCAAGTGTGCTAGAGTTAGAAAGAACAATATATGATTACACATAGAAATGATAGAGTCACTGTCCCCAAATTGGTTACGATTAGAACCCCTCGAGTTGCAAACGATTCTGCTGGCGTCACAGATGCAGTTCAACGTAGGCTGAGCAAAAAAAGTTGATACTGCAAGATTGAGGCCTGTGTAGCCTATTTGTAAGCCATAGCAGGTTTCCTAGGATGATAAGCCAACGATCTTCACGGAAACAGTACTCTACTCCTTGGGATAGAGGTCAGGTTGCGTACATCTCATCCTTCCCAGAACCCACCTTTGGTGTGGGATAACTAAGCTCCCATGGTTTGGTTTAGCAGATTTCCTAGGAATCGTTTCTTTATTGCTTTTTTGTCAATGGCACTTCCGCTTGGGATGAATCCTTTATGTACTATTCTCGGCCATTTTCCCCGAATAAATTTTAGCAGTCGTTGAAGTTATATAACCTTTAAACCTGCCACAAATAATCCTTCCCTCCATATGTGTTCTAGTCGCGGGTCCCATCGGTTGGAAAGTCCATCCAAATGGATGCTATAAGTATGGGATATTCAGAATTATTAATCTGATAAGGGTCTTATAAGCTACGTGATATAACCAAGAAGAACCAATAAATCATAAATAAATACACACGCACGCAGGCAGGAGCAGGGATTGCCATCACAACTATGAAAATGTGAACTAAATAAAGTGGAATAAGCAAGTGATGTCACTGCAAAGCAAACCAATAACCTCTAAGCATGTATGTAAATATACACACACATATACATACATATCACAGTTAAAACTGTGGCTTTGTGCATACGTTACACATATATATACATCACAGTTAAAACTATTCTGTTTGGACAGTACTCAAAGAGACATACAACAGTGTCTGAACCGCCTGCAGATGATACGATAGTCCAAGAGGGGACTGTGACACAGTAACTCCATCCCCTGCGGGAATCATGTGGCCAAACAGAATTTCTGCCTTCCTGCATAGAAATAGAACTTCTATGAAAAAATAAAATAGACAAACTTATTTGATTATCAGGGTACAAAACCAAGCACAAGTGTGAACCTCATAAACTGACTGTTGTCTTCATAACAATAATGCAATCCTAGACTGAGTTCATAAAATCATAAGTAAATGCAAAGTTATGTTACAATGTTGTAAACCCTATGTGGAAAGTAAATATATGAACATCATAAAGACTCCCTTTCATCATGCTTTTACAACTTACAAGTACCCCCATCCACACCCCCAGATTGGTGACACACCTAATGAGAAGGCCACATTGTGCATCCACTTTATTTTCATCTAAAATTCCATGGTCATAGATGAGCTAAAATAGGTCACTCTTAAAATTAATTAAATGCAAGGAGTTACAAAAGGTAACTTGAATATTAAAAGAACATACAAGACACGATGGGGATAACATTGTCTCAGCCCACTAAATGATCAAAAACCATATCACGTATATTCTCTTCCATTTAATGAGACCGGTGAGGTGGGGGCGCCTCAGAGGGTGGCATCTACCCTTTGTTCATTTAATGAGCAAACTGAACTAGAAGGAGATCAACACTCAAGCAGTTTTGTTATGCTGCACCTATCGGCAAAACTCCAAGTCTTCAACTAAAATAAACCACAAAGAGACACCCTTTCTAAAATTTGTTTGACATGTTTTGAGATAAAATTTGTAACTTGCTATACGGATCAGAATACAATTAATCCAGCATGGGCTACATAATAAATTGATAAGCCGGGATCTCGCGGCCCACCAAGCGATACTGGTGGTTTCTTGGTCACAACCAGCTAAAGCTAAAGTTCCATTTTTCTACTAGGTAATCTAGTATCCTTATGCATGAAGATAAAAGATGATAGACTTGAATTAATTCACCACTATTATGATATACATTTTCAACTCTTGCCAGAACTAGTTAATTGAGAACTCACCAGGATAAATCACTTGAAACACTTCCAGTGTAAATAGAATCTGATTGCTTTTAGGCTTCCTGATTACATAAATTGAAAATCCTTGTATATGTTCTAAGTTCAATTATCCATACCTCCCACAAGATCCTAGACTAGAATGTAAAACGTGCTCGGAACATTTAGGAGCTGGTTAGGATCAATTTCTTAGAAGCACCTTTATTGTTCTTAAGGAATTCCTTTTAATTTAGATTACTATTAACAAAATTGTCCCGTCGGAGCATGAATTTGAAGGTTTAGACTTTAGAACTAGAATTAGAATTCTCGAAAATGAAACCGAAGCTGATTAAGTTGACCATCGCATATAATACCTAGAGATAGATTCGTACGTACCCAAATACGAGGAGGAAGACTCCAGTCCATGCCTAAAGGGAGAGGAGAAGTGCCATCATGACGGTGCTTCGGCGGGCTGCTAGGGTTTTTACTTGAAGGTCCCAACCTCGTAGGCGGCCTTCGTCTAACATAAACACCATCATCATAGTCCATTGCAGCTGCCATCGGAGAAAGAGAATTTCCATAGAGAGAACTGGTGATTGCCGGATCGGAAAACCCGTAATCGTAGAAAGATACATCGTATCCATACATGCTCATCCTGCTCTCACTCACTGAATCTCTGAATTATGAAATAGGTTTTTGGGGAAACTGGGACTGCTATGCAATTTCATGAAAAAGATGCTGCTTTTTTTCTTCCCAAGATGCAATAAAATTTTGATTTTAATTTAGAAAATCAATTTTCAAAATTAAAAAAAAAAACAAACATTATGGTGTTTTTGGTATGCAGACCGGATGAGATGGAACAAAAATAAATAGTCTCATGTTTAGTGTGTCATGGGATAAAAATGCGATGGGACAAAAGTAAGATTGGATGAGACTATTTTTGAGTTTTTTTGTTCCACCAAACGGTAGAACAATATGGGACTAAATTTGAAATTACAATATTACCTTTGTTATTTGATATCAAAATACAAACATAATTTAATTGCATCCTCTTTCTTTTCTTCCACAGCCTCCATTCTCAATTCCGGTCTTCATTCTTGAAATGTTAAACTTTTGACGATGGCATGACAAATGTTATTTACAATTGTTATGTTTAAACTTTTTAAATTATGTGCGTATTTAAAATTTATGGTATGACAAATGTTATTTACATGTGGTCTTGGAAGATTTAAAAAAATATTAATATCATAGATTAAATAATTTAAATGTTTTTTTTTTTGTTGATTTGTTGTCATTTACAATCATTATATGATATAAAATAACATTGGACAACATTTAGGGGTAATATGGTCATTTTAACAGTCTTGTCTTGTTTTGTCTTGTTTTGTCCTAGTCGTACTAAACATAGGACAAACAATTAGTCATGTTTTGTCATGTCCTGTCTCGTTCAGTTTCGTCATGTTCTTTCTCATCCAGTCTGCGTACCAAACACTACCTTACAAACAATTCAATAATTAAGGGATTCTACAAGCAACTCCAACAGTTAGATTTTTTTATAATAGAGTATGAAAAGTCATAATCTCTAAAAAAAATATCTAACTCGAACAACTACTCTAGTTTAGCAGTTCTAGAATTAATTATATTAATAAAATATTCGATAATTTTTTTCTTTTTTATAGAATTTTAGAGATTTCTCTAAATTTAGAGATTTTCACAGTTTCTCTCCTCTCTTCCTATTTTAGCATAGAGGATAACATGGTTGTTGGAGCAACAAAAATGTTAAAATACATATTTTCTCTATTTTAACATAGTTGTTGAAGATGTTCTAAATGTATGATTTTGAGCAAGATTTTTGAAATTCTAGTATCTAGTTTTATATTGTTTATGACCTTTCATCAACAAATGTAGAAATTATAGCCCACCCTTAATGTCTCTTTGATTTTCATCAGAAAACAAAAGTAATACGTCTTTTCATCGCCTTTGTAATTTGTATACATGTATATAGACTTTGGATCATGTGAGACCAATGGTTTTTCGTGAGACCCGTAAGACCAATTTTCAACCATTGGATTACATTTACAATCGTCAGATTTGAATATTCATAAATGCCACAAGACTTCTCAATAATTACAAAATTGTCACCTTGCAACTTTAGACCATTAGATCTAGGGGTGAACAAAAAACCGTGAACCCGCGAAACCCGCCCAACCCAACCCGCTAACAACCCAATTAAACCCAACCCGTCAACCCGCCGCTAATATATAATTTTTATAAAATTATATATATATATATATATATATATATATATATATGGTTATTATGTATATATATATATATTAATAATGTATAAATTTTATATACTTTTTATTGATATTATATTTTGTTTCATTTTAACTAAACGTATAGGTTACCAAAAGAGATTCACGATCAAAAAATGATGACAAATAATCTAATTAATAAGAAAAATTATTGATTTTTTTTTGCAGCAACAACAATTTGATATGTTGGAAAATATGAATGATATTGATAGATATTTGATGGACGAATCCATCAATCTATGACGCTTTTAAAGAGTTACATTAGAAAAATGTCTTRTCTAAAAGAGTTCCAATATTTTTATAGGATGATTTTGGACGTCTTAACAAATTCTATGATGTTTTTAAAAAAAGTATCGTATTAGTTATATTATACAACACGACTTGAAAAAATGTCATATGAGCATAGGTGTCCTATAAATAGAT